GGTGTTGGACCAGGGAAGAAGTTGGTTCCTCTTTTCTGACTGAGTTCTTGTGTTCTTCAATGCGTGCATTTATTCTTCTGTTGGTTTGTCCGATGTATGTGGTGGGGCAGGCGGTGCATGGGATTTCATATACTCCTTGATTTTCTAACTCAATTTTGTCTTTGGGGTTTCTTAGGATGGTGGATATTTTTCGGTTTGTCCACCATCCTAAGAAACCCCAAACACCCTTAAGGTTAGATGCACCGGACACAAATCGATGTGCCCGTTAATGGAGTCACTATCTGAGAGCCAGACCTCTTTAAGTAGCTGGCCCCTTTTCGTGTTATCGCTGGCCAGCACTCGCACGTTGTTAAAATCGAAGCAATGCCCAGACTCTGCCATATGCACCCAAACCTGGGAGCGCTGCTCACCCCTTTTTACGGCTAGCTTGTGTTCATGGACCCTGGTCTTCACTCTTTTAGAGGTCTCCCCCATGTAGTTGCCGGGACAATCTTTACAATTGATCCTGTAAACAACCGCTGACTTCTCTGTGTTGGGGAGTGGGTCCTTGGGCCGCATCACCTTGGAACGCAACGTCTGGTTGGGTCTGTGGGCCACTTTCACCTTGTGGGGTGCCAGCAGCCTGGCCGTTGCTTCCGAGACATTGTTAATATACGGGAGGGTGACCCGGGTCGTCTGCGGTGGCAGTTCCTCTACCCATAGTTGATCTCGGGGTTTGGGGGGTGCGCTATGGCGTTTGAACTTTGTGGGATACCCGTTGCGTCTGCATACGCGGAGTAGGTGGTGCCTTTCTTCCCTTTTGGTTTTTGCCGTGCTGCAATGGGAATCTACTCGTTTAAACAGCTGACCTTGTGGGCTACTGGATGGTTACTTGCAAAATGCAAGATCCTATCCGTGTGCGTTGGTTTACGGTATACCTCCGTATTCAGGGTTCCGTCTGGACGGCGATGGACCAACACGTCCAAGAATGCCAACGCCCCCTGGTTCTCCTCCTCCTTCGTAAATTGAATATCCGGGTATACCGAGTTAAATACGCCCACAAAGCCAGCTCTTTGATCCCTTTTGATGACCACGAATGTGTCATCAATGTAGCGGGCCCAGAATTTGGGTTGGTATTGGGCCATCGCTACGTGTTCTAGCTGTTGCAGTACGGCCTCCGCTATAACGCTTGAAATAGGAGACCCCATGGGCGTGCCTTTGACCTGCTCGAACGTGGTTTCCTGGAAGGTAAAGTAGGTTTTTAGGCACACCTCAAGCAGCCTCACCAGGTCGTCAATACGGAGGGAGTCCTGGTGCCGTCCCGGCCCAGTGCCATCCCGTCCTGGTGCCGTCCTGTCCCGGCCCGCAAGACCTGGCCGTCAGGGTGATAAAGGACCGGCTGAATCAACAAGGGCCGGGACAGTGCTTCTATTTCGGCGGAAAGGGCTTCCTGGTTATAGTTTAGCTCTTCTGTTATGCCGAGGTATTTGCTTAATTTTTTGCTCACCGCGGGGGGAAACCGGCATATAGCCTGCGGGAAGGAGCTGCTGGCTTGGCAGGCTCCTTTACTCATCCTCGGGAGCTCCTCCCTATTGTGATTGGCTACCCTGCTTTCGGGAACCGGTAGCCAAATCGCGCTCCTTTCGTCCACGAAATCAGTGATCGATAGTGGTTAAGAGGGTAACTTTTAAAGTAAGGCACTTACCGGCCTTAATCTTCGAAGCCACATTGGTCCTTTCGGTGGAGGAGCCCGAGTCCAGATAATTCCAGAAGCAAGGCTGCTAGTTGGAATCCTTTACCATTTCTGTCAGATAACTCTTTTATGGTATTTTAAACACATACTATTGCCTTTTTTTTCTTTTTGTACCTTCTCTTTCATTATCTTTTGTAATTGTCATTTTTTTTACTTACGTAAAAATCTGTGTACAAAAAATATTTTAGAAATGTGGTATATTCTGATTTGTTTTGACCAAATGAGGTGAGCCTGAAATATATGTTTACAAACTTTTTCTGGGCGTTTTCTGGGTATAAGAAATGCAGGTAGTTTTGAGCTTAAAACCATTTAACAATGATTCAAAGTTACTATGGCCTCAAAAAAGTACCTTCTGACCTATACTTG